ACTGCCTCCTGGTCCAAGTATAAGTTTCGCATTAGAACAATCAAGTGTTCTGGGATTCCCACTCTTCTCAGAGTCAGCCATGGTTTGTTATGCTCGGAGGAGGGGTTAGGTGGGGCAGCTTAGAGGGCCTCAGACACCTCCCATCTCCCCAGGTAATCGAAGATGCAAAAAACCGTGACATTCATTCCGGCCTGAGGGCCTGTGGCCCTCAGGCCAAGAAAAGCCTATCTACACACTGGTTCTACAGGATGCATCACCTTTACTCGGGAAACATTACGACTAAACTTCAGAGACATTGATCCCAACATAAGGAACTACCATCAGCTGATGTGTTTGGAATCACAGAAGCCATGGAAGCCTCATATATGTTATTAGATGGAGGGCTGGTCAAAGGGAGATAGATGTGAAGGGAGTGGGTAGAAGTGGATGGGTATCCTGGTGGATGGTGGAGCAGGGAAATAAGTGGGTAAAGACGCGTGTGAGAAAGGCAGGGACAACACTGACACTAAAGTTAATGCCGCAATAAGGGATATACCTTTAACATGCTGGTCTGTCTGATACTTCTCTAAATCTGAACATTCACATTAAGATAGACTAGGAAGAAGGATTGGCCATCCACTTCTGAAATAGCAGGCCTCTGAAAACCCTATGTTCTTTCACATACTGAGCTAAAATATACTTCCTGATGACATTACTTTTGTCTTTATGGCCACCAAGGACACAGTCTTTTCTTCCACAGGACAATCCTTTAAGCAGCTGAATCTCTGACCAGGTCTCAACCGAGTCCTCTCAAGACTGACCATCCATTTCCCTAAATCATTCCTTTTATGACATAGTTTAAGTCACTCCTTCCTTTTGCTACTGCGGGTCTCCTACACATCTTAATATTTTACTTGCAAGTTGGCAGCTTGAGTTTTTACAGCTGAATTCATTGTTAACATTTAAAAATTAGAAAACTATATTTAAATATTAAGATTTCTGATTCCTCTTGAAAAATAACAAAATCTAGCAAGTTTGGGTCTACATTCTCACGTTAAAATTTGTTGAGTAAACAGTCCTCCGTTCAAGTTGTTGTTATTGTTAGGTACCACTGAATTAAGTACGCCTCACAAAGACGCTGTGAATATATTAGAACCCTATACCTATTTAGAGATCTGAATCTATATTGTACCATACTCATCATCTCTGACACATTTGAGCCCAATGCTGTAGTCACTGTGTCAATCCATCTTGTTGAGGATCTTCCTCTCTTTCATCAACCCTCCACTTATCCTAGCATGATGTCCCTTTCCGAGGAATAGCCTCTCCTAGCAACATACAGGGATGTGAGACAAAGCTTTATCATTTATGCCTCCAAGGAGCATTCTGGCTGCACTTTCTCCTGTCAGGTACCCTTCTCCAAATCACAATGCCCTTCAATACTCTATGTTGGCTGCCGACACTCTATGACACTGCTCTACAGCAATTCACTGTTGGTTCTAAGACTCCTCAAGAGTAGTGATTAACTCAGCTTACTTACATATTATCAGGGTCATGCAGCATTCTGCACATTACAAGACTCAGTAAGTATGTGATAATGAATAAACTGACCAAACTATTCCTGGTCCCTTTCTTCTAAATGAATTCCATTCTTAACAATATGCAGTGTAAACAAAATTCTGTACAAAAAATTTAACAAGAGTCCCTCTGGAAACTCCTCCAGTGACAACATGGTACTTGTGTCCTGGTTGGTAATAAAAGATATCTCTCTCCTGACCCAGTTTCCAGCTGCATTTTTTCTCTGTAACATTTTCTTTACTCTTTGAGACTCCTGCTTTTCAATCAGCAAATTCAAGTTTGCCACTTGGAGAAGTTCCTCCCACAACTTGTCTTAATGAAAAATGGGTTACCCTTCCCCACCCCACCCTATGCAGGCCCTGGCTGTGCTTATGAGCCCACCCTGCAGCTATCTGAGCACTACCACGTTTGTGAGACCTGTGCCAACATTTTGGACTACCCTTTCTCTGTCCTGGTCAGCGGTGTTCTGTCACTCAATGACTTCAGCATTGGTTATCACTTTTCATTTCTACCACAATTTCTATTTTCTCAGGTTACCTGGTGACTTCAAAGATCACAGGGAAAGCCTTTTCAGAACTCCATCCCTAATCTCTAACAGCCTCCTCATCTCATCCATGACATTTCAGTTCCTTCATTCTGCTACAGCTCAGATTATCATTGCCTGAAAGCATCCCTCTTCTGAAATGTTATAATTATACACTCTAGGCCCTGTCCACAACGTCCTATCTTCTGGTCAGTTTTTTTCCCCCACAACTGTGGATATCCCTCTTCCTCTACTTCTTCAATACCTCTCATACATGATCCCTCCTTATTCTCCTTACTTATCAGTTACTATTACCCTTCACTTTCTTTTTTAAATTCACCTTCGAGTTTTTTTCAATTTATCATTTCAGTCCTTCTCTTGCCAATAATCTAAATTTCTGCCAGATTTAGACTGCTTAGTGCTACTGGAGAAAAATTATATACCAGGTATTCTAGCTTAAATTGTGTCCTCTCAAAATATGCACTTGTGGGTTTGGGGTTTTTTTTTGTTTTTGTTTTTTTTCTTAAAGGGAAGGTAAAAGGCTATAATTCAGGTTAATAGAATATAATCATTCAAGACAGCTTGTAAAATGTGTGGCAGATACCTGAGCCATAAGCCTTGTAGCTTTATGCCAGTCTTGCAAATTATTGCTCTCATCTCTAGTCTTCCAACAAAGCTAGGCAAAGGCTATTATCTCTGGTTCCTCATGGGGTAGCAGTCCCAACATCCACTCCATCTCACATCGGGTCTCAGGCTCTTTGCTGCTGGCTGCTATGGCTGCTGCTCACAAAGGCCCTGGTCTGGTCAGTGTAAGAATT